AATATAGGACTCGCCACTGTGATCTCTACATTGGGTCAAACTTAACATCTCTTAATGTTAGACGGCTTATACACCAGATCTTATTTATTTACGATGTACTTACAAAAAAATCCGCAGACTACTTGCTGGATCTTCTCTCTGTTTCAAAGAACAAATTTGACCTCAGGTCTTCGCTCATCTACCAGCTTCACATTCCCTATTGCCGTACAAAAACCGGAGGAAGGGCCTTTGCTATTGATGGCCCCAGGGTCTGGAATGCTATTGCCAATAAACTGCAACTTGAATCACTACCTATGAGATCTTCACTCAAAACTGCTCTAGAGGAGTTGTACACCCCTAGCTGCCACTGCTATTCAGTGGCCTAAAATAAAATAAATGTTTCACTCCGGATGACCGCTGCAAAGTATTATCTGTATTTTGATTTAAAGGTGCATTGAAAAATGTGATACTCCGACTGATGCCCCTGTTGTTTGTGGAGTGACTCATGAAGCCAGCTGTGGCTCTAGGGTTTGGTGTTACATGTTATGTAATTTATTGTTAAAAACTCGGTCACAGTTCCTATGATCACTGTTACATTGCATTTATGGCTTTATTTTGGTGATTTCTAAAAGTTTTTGGTTTGGCCAGGTTTTTGTTTATTGTAGTGCGGAGTTAGACTGATGGCCTTAATCTAAGTTTTGTTGTTGTTGTTTGACTTGCATCCCACTGGGATTTTTGCACACAGCGTTGGTGTACGGTGCTATATCAGGAATATTTTGATGTTTTTTTCCTGGAATTTATGTTTGCACATGCACAAAGTCACTTTAAGATGTTTTCTTGTTCATGTTTTTGTTTTGTTTGTTTGTTGCGGTTGCACCCGATTCAAGAGCCGAATGGCTCACAGGGCTATACCAAATAAATAATACTATGAAACTATGAAACCCTGTAAATATGTATATATGGAGTGGAGGCATCCCTCGCGCAACGCGACCCACATGGCACAAATTCACAGTTACGCGATTCATATTTTAGGGACATACTCGCACTTACACGATGCGTTTCATAGTTACGGGCTCAAGAAACAAAAATTGTAACGTAAGCATTTTCTAAATAGTAACGTTTAATGATGAAAATTGAAAGTTAAACACAAATATTTCGCAGGTTAACCAACTGTAATCTCGATCTGATGGCGTCACCCCGTCATGGCAGGGCCCAGTGTCACGGGCTGGGCGTAGCCATCTGCTGCTGCTGCTGCTAGCTTCGGTTGTTCTTTTTGTCGAAGGAAATATGTCGAAGTAATTTTACATACCCCTTGCAGAAAGGAGCACATTGAATACGAGTGCCAAAACGAAAGGCGAAAGCAGTGGACAGGAGTGTCAAAAGGTCAGGAAAGGGTTGAGCAATGGATGTGAAGCTACACGTTTTACAGAAGTACGATGAGAGGTGCCGTGACATGTGTACATGTTGAACTTCTTCCGCACCGTACGTAGCCAACCGTGATAATGGGAGGTGTCATGGATGTTGCTTGGGCCTTAAATTTGTTAGAATCAATAGTGCGTACAATACAAGTAGAATTGAATAATGTTCAACAAGTACTGAAGCCTCAAGTTCGTCAAAGATTGTATGGCCCAGTGATAACGCCTTCGAAAACATGGAAAGACCATTGTAACACGTACGTCTATGAGAAAATAGGCTTCATCCAGCGAGATTTTTCAGGAGGGACGCTCTATATACTGTATATTTGTTTTAAAACAAGAGAATCAATGCGTGTTCTTGTGAACCGTATGATCAATATCGTCCAATGAATCGATACATCGATACAACCCTGATTCTTACACATGGGATTGATGCACCTCTTGTAAACTTATGAACTTACATGAATTGCAACCTTAGTCTCCACACTACATCTCTCTTGTGATATCACAGCCTTATTGTTGTCTGTAACATGGTCTTCTCTGCAACGTTGCAGTGTATTCTGTGGCCTGTGACATTATAACGTGTCCATACATTGACGCGGAGACAGAATGGAATGGCCTGTCGCAAATTACTCAATTGTGATTAGGTACAGCAAGCAATGCCCCCTACTGGCAGACTAATGCCCTAGGAAGGATGCTTTGCTGCCTCTCCGTTATTTTCTGTGGTTCTTTCTCAAGTCTCCGAGTCGTCCCCTCTCTCTCCTCTCTCTATACCTGCCAACCCCTTACCAGTGCCCTACCTTATTACAGACCAATTCAGACCTTATTGGTCACCCCGTGCCCTTATAAATCTCAACGTCCATCCTACAAAGTCCCATCATCACAAGGGAGAAACGCAAACACATAGACAAAAACAATGTTGCCCTTATTGAAACGGCTGTACGCCGTATGGCCCTGAAAACTACATTTCCCAGTACAAGAAGACGGGTAAACCGTATGGGTTGACAGGTATGATCTCTCTCTATTCGAGAGCGGAGCTGCTCTAGAAATCAGAGCCAGTCAATTAAACCTGCAGCAACCGCATGGACCCCATTAACGCAGTATAGGCTATGGGATGCCATCTGCTGGAAATTGATGGATGGTACAAACTCAATGTTATTCTCAAACTCGATTCTCTGCTCGTCAAAGAGAAAAAAAAGCCAATGACGAAGGACGTCTGCTCGCCACGGGGAGGGCTTCAGGAGAGAAGAGTTCACGCAGGCTTGCTTTTTCTCTGTCGAAGGAGCGCAGACTACGTGTGTATGTTGAACTTCTTTCGCACCGTACGTAACCAGCCTTGCCAATCGGAGGTGCGGGGAAATGATAACAAACTAACACACGCAAACAGGTCCCTGCAGGGTGGGCTGGTAGGAACATTGGAATTTTGCGCAATTTTATTTTTACACCCCAACAGCACGAGATTTCACTTCGTTAAAGTATTGAAAGGGGACGGACGGACACATTAATCTATTGCAGGCTGGTACACTCAGTTTATCAGTTTACAACTTCGTTCCTACCAGTAAAAGGAGACTACATGGGTACCACAGTGATACAACACTTCGGAAGATCCTAATTTAACTTTCCTTTCGCATTCACGTGATAACTGGAAGTGACAAAATTCACTGAACTCGAATATTTTACCGCTCAAAAGCGGTGACACAAAGTGCCGTAGTGTGACGGCACTGTTGTTAGCACCAATATATCTTCACATCAACATATAAATGTTACGTAAAATCGGAAAAAGATCCGAAATTGTCCTTAGAAATACGATGGGGTTTTTATTATTCTTATCCGAAACTCTAAATACCTCACGAGACAAGAGCTTCAAACTCTGCAAGCGAGGGCACTTGCAGGCGTTTTAACACGTCAACGCACTTGACAGCAGTGCCGTGACCTAACAATGCCACGGCACGCTTCACCGTCACTTGCTAACGAATCCAATCTAAATTTAAAGGGCGCCTTCACTTGAGGCGCTTGCCACAACGGCGACGCAGAACGGGATAAGGGGCCGTCCATAAATGACATCACGCACCTTGGGGGGGGGGAGGGGGTACGACAATGTGACGAGGGGGGGGGGGTTGAGAAATGTGACGTCACATCAAAATGCGAAACTTTAAATGAATATAGAATTGTTATAACAACACTAATTGTTATAACAACACTCCTACAACATCAGAGTGCAGCGCCACATTAAATACGCACTACAATGACAATAGTTTAAAGCGATTTGAAGCATGCTTTATTTTCAGAATGGAAATGTTTTTTTTGGGGGGAGGGGGGCAGAGCCTTGTGACGTCATATTTGAGGGGGGGTCTGACTTTTTGTGACGCCGTGTGACGAGGGGGGGGGGGGGGTCAAAATTCGTCCAAAATCGCGTGACGTCATTTATGGACGGCGCCTAATGTACCGTGTAGTTGGCAGGGGCAGTGCCACAAGGAGGTGTTGGGGAATGAGTGACAGCGGCGACAGAGGAGTACTTTGTGGGGAGGGGTGGGGGTTGGTCACTAAAGGGCTTAAGCATGGGGAGGGACGGGAAGGAGTGGAGGGGACAATGGGAGGGAAGAGAATGGGCAACAGAGAAGAGTGGGAGGCTTCATTATAATGGAGCTACAAGCGTGTTAATCAAGCGGCATTCGTTCAAACAAGCCCGGCTCTAAAAAAAATGGGACCTTTTTTGCCAGTATCAAAGTGTGAAAAAAATAAGAATTAAGTTGGCATTATCCACACATACTTGTGAACATGCAAACAACTTCACTCCTTGCAAAAGGTTTCGATTTGGTACTTGAACATCTTAACACCTGTTTTATTGCCAGAAAGCGTAAATCCTATTCTAAAATTTTCAAGCCTGACTCTGCTTATGAGACACAGAATCAGAATATTTATTCACACTGGAGGAATCCGATGAGCTATGAAGCTCTTTTTTCACAGATGTCCAGTTAGGGGCGGTTAAGAACAACAGTACAAAAAAAAAACCGATAGCAGTGCAAAGTACAAGAAAGGTAAACAATCTTGATTTGAAGCTTTCGTGATCGCCAAGAATATTTGGTTCTTTCGGTAAAGTCACGCAAGTAGAAAAATAAAATAATTATTTTTTGTTTCATTAAATTTTTCTACCTACGTGACTTTACCGAAAGAACCATTAGAGTAAAGGTAAACAAATCAGCCAAACACATACAAGACACATCCTACAAGGCAGAACCCCACTTGGGCATTAACTGATTTGATCAGAAGCGACCTGCCCACAAGTGACAGCTCAACAAAGTGGCCTTATATTTCGATTTAAAGCTTTCGTGACTGCAAGAATTCATCTTCTTTGGTTCTTTCGGTAAAGTCATTGTAGAATGAGAATAAAATAATAAAATAAAACAATAAAATTCTCACGACGTTTCGGCCACAACGCAAGCGGCCTTCTTCAGGTGAAGGAACAAAAAACTGTCGGGACGACAGAGCTGGGGAACAATGGGGCCAGACGCGCACGCTCGCTGCGCGCTTACGTCACGAAGCAGCGTAACGACGTTGGACGCGCACGCTCTCGCTGCGCGCTTACGTCACGAAGCAGCGTAATGACGTCGACGGTCGCTCGTCAACCAATGGGAGAGGCGCGATTGTGATCGTCTGAGAACGCGGCGGCCCTGTTTCGCCAGTCCGCCGTGCACAGCAACAGAGGATCATCTTCTGCACTCTGGCCAACATTTAAACTCCCGCCGCCTTCTTACAAAACAATAACAACAAGCAAGCGTCATGCCGGTCCGCTACCTCGGCGCGCTGCTCGGTCTGGCGGCGCTCGCCACCTCCAGCCTCGCCGCGGCTGCCGCCACGGCGATCCCCGGCAAAGCCTCGGCCTCGCCTAACAAGGCTGCCGCGTTCAACCGCACCGAGTCCCCCAGCAAGGAGGCCTCGGCGCCTGACGGCGCGTACAAGTCCCCGTTCGACAACCTCATGATCCAGCGCGCTCTCTACGTCCTCATCGGCGTCACGGCCGTGGTGGTCATATACTTTATCATCCGCACCATTAGGTACGGACCTTGTTTGCTGCTAAGGGTGATCGCCAAAGCCGCTCTTGACCAATGCGGTGAAGTTTTTGATTACTGTACAGGTTGGTCCACATGTCTTGTGATTCTCCAATTAATTGACCGAGAACATCCCCCCTCCCCCACCTTTGCATATAAATTTATGTATTAAATAAGTCTCACTTACTAAAGAAACATTGCGTTTTAGAGAAATAAAGGGGGCGGGGGTGGGGGGTCGCAAGACATCTATATCACTTTGTGCAACACAATTGGGTATTGCTCTGCGAGTTTACATAGCGTCTAATTCGGTGTTCTTAGCTAATATTCAGAGGTGTGTGGGGGGGTTACTTTCGCCGATAAGACATCGATGTTGAAGGCCGCCACACCGCCTGCAAGGGGTGTTTCAAAATGCGGTGGATTGTCGGGTGGCCGCACTGAAGGCCACCAGGGACCGCTAGTGGTCCGTGGGCCTTGCAGTGAACGCCACTGGTACCATAGCTGACAACCCATACGGGTTACCCGTATTCTTGTACAGAGAAATTGAGTTTTCACGTCCGTAGGACGACGTACAGCCGTTTTAATACGGGAAAAATAAAATTGTCTGTTTCTCCCTTGTGATGGGACTTTGTAGGATGAACGTTGAGATTTTTAAGGGCACGTGGTGACCAATAAGGTCTGAATTTGTCTGTAATTTAGGCACTGATAATGGGTTGACATGTATGCTGGTCGAATGCAACCGCATCTCAAGACGCTTGACGGAAGCCGTGGGCATATTGAATTTGTTGTACGTATTTTGTTCAGAGGCAGTCGGTCGTAGGCAGAGGAGAAGATGAAGCTATTGAGCAGGGGGTTGGAGGCACGGGTGATTCAGGAAAGGGAACTTTCAGGCCATGGGGCTGGACGCAGGAATAAGGAGCAACGTTTCACTCAGAATCAGAACCTTGATTTGTCCTGGAGAAATCCGATGAGCTATGAAGCTCTTTTTCGCAGATGTGCAGTCGTAGAAAACGCCACGACCTGTGCCCTTTAACCGTACCCACTTGCCCAGCTGCTGGTGCTACATGGAAATCCTTGAGGTGGGAGTCACCAATAGTCTCTGTTGACAGCGTGGGCAAGCGGTCGAGAAGGAACAAGCGATACGGGGTGCTGAGCACATCAGCTGAGCACATCGAACTCGCCGCCCTGGAGCAGGAGGACGATGACGACGATGAGGACACCACCCTCTTCGAAGCTCGCCAGGGCCGGAGATGAGGTGCATTTCACATGTCAGCGCATCTGCATGTAACGACAACACCGTTCGCCAATAAGTGGTGAGGACGTCACCACGGCGTCTGTGCCAGGCCCAGGTGCACTTTTGAGGCCACGTGAAGTGTCGAAGGTTTGCTGGCAGGAGGTCACGGGACAGTCCCAGGTGCCATGGGTTGACTGACTGAGATTACTGGCAGATGCAGTAGCTGTGCCCTCTACTGTGCTAACTGTATCTAACAAACAGCTCTCTACATGCACACTGGGACACATCACCTACTTCCCAGTGCTCAATAGTAGAGTAATTGTGCACATTTGTTGCCTAACTACATAAGATGTACCACAGCCTACGAATTATTAATTCCTTCTGACAACTGTGGTGAAGGTGCTTTAAATGTAAATGTTATTCTCCCATTGCCTAAAGGAATATGCAACCCACAAACAGGTAGATCTTGATTTAAAGCTTCCGTGACTCCAGGGATTCATATTATTGGTTCTTTCGGTAAAGTCGCGTAGAAGGGATACAATAAAATAATAAAAATATAAAACAATAAAATTTTCACGACGTTACGACTGCAACACAAGCAATCACCATCAGGTGTGAAAACCACCAAGAAAATGTTCTTGTTGTGGTGTGAAAATTTTCTTGTGTGAAAACCACAACAAGAAAATGTTCTTCTTGTGGTTTTCACACCTGATGATTGCTTGTGTTGCAGTCTAAACGTCGTGAGAATATTGTTTTATATTTTTATTATTTTATTGTTTCTCTTCTACGTGACTTTACCGAAAGAACCAAGAATATAGGTACATCTTTTCTAGATTTGATGCTTTCGTGACTGCAAGGATCCATACTCTTTGGTTCTACTCGGTAAAGTCACGTAGGTAAAAAATAAAACAACAAAAATAATATTCTCACGACGTTTCGGCCACAACACAAGCGGCCTTCATCAGGTGAAGGGACCAGACTGTCTCGAGGACAGCGCTGCAGTGAAACACAGCCAAGCTCAGACCGCGACCTTTAAGCTTTGTCAAGGCACCTTAATTACTCTCACATAGCTTAAAGGTCGCGGTCTGAGCTTGGCTGTGTTCACTCCAGCGCTGTCCTCGAGACAGTCTGGTCCCTTCACCTGATGAAGGCCGCTTGTGTTGTGGCCGAAACGTGATTTTTGTTGTTTTATTTTTTACCTACGTGACTTTACCGAATAGAACCAAAGAGTATAGGTAGATCTTGTTATGTAGATAAAAATAAAGAGACTCACCTTTGTTCCCACATCTGCCGCTGGATGAGAGGTGATGGGCAGAGCTTGGTGAAGTCACCAACATCGTCAGTGGCATCAACCTGGGCTTGACTTGTCGGGGGTTTCCGGCCTTCAGGAGTAATCGACCACAAACAAGTAGTCGAGTCAATTTAATTGAGTTAATTTAATTGATTAATTGTCCTAGCTTTACAGCATTGGACCTCCTTTGCCAGTACCAAAATATAATAATAGGGTTTTTCCCCTTTTTTGGCAACAAAACTGAAACCTTTTTTTACAAGGATTCATGTCTGCATTAACCACAATACTTGCAGTCAAAATGCAAACAAAAAACACACTCTTATAATATATGCATTGTCCTTGAAACTGATTGGTCCACACCAGAGACAGCTTTCTTTAGAGCCTAGTCTCAATTGGTGCTAGACCAGATGACGCCAAAAGGCAGACATGAATCCTTGTAAAAAAAAAGGTTTCAGTTTTGTTGCCAGAAAAAAGGGGAAAAACCCTATTATTATGTCCTAGCTTTATATCAAAGGCGTGATGTTATTGTGGTATGGGCTGCTGTACTCTCTAATTCATAATCACTGCAGTAATGTCCTGATAGCGCTAATCCGGGTCTCCTGAGAGGCACTTAATTTGTTTTCTCATCAACAGTTCTTCATTAATAGTTTCGGACAGCTCCGAACCCAAGACCCTGGTCTTTTCTTTATTGTAAAGATAAGCACATTTCTAAGTGCTTTTTTTCCCTTTAAATGCAGAACACTGATTTATTTAATATGCAATTTGTATTGAGGTTTGAGTGTGCTTAGTTTATAAGAATTACTAATATAATACGCCAAGAATGTGTGTCCCTGTGTGACGTCACTCCACGAGGCCCACCCCCCCACGTGAAGTCACTCCACGGGCCCACCCCACCTCATTAATATTCATGAGTGGGTGGATTTTTACACTAACGCAGACGAAGGTGGAGCTGAATTAAATAATTTATTCCGCAAAGTCGCTTCAAATATGACTTTGCTTTACAGAAAATGATGGTAAAAAAGAAATCTAAGCAGCACAGTGCTACATTCGTGTGTGACGTCACTGCAAAAGAGCCCCCCCCCCCCTTAATTTCCATGCCCACGTGGACATTTACACTAACGCACAAAGTCACGCACTCCACATGCCGCACCCCTTCCCTCATTAATAATCATGAGCGGGTGACGTCACTACACATGCTGCATCCCTCATTAATAATCATGAGCGGGTAACGTCACTCCACATGCCGCACCCCTTCCATTAATAATCATGAGTGGGTAACGTCACTCCACATGCCGCACCCCTCCCATTAATAATCATGAGCGGGTGATGTCACTCCACTTGCCGCATCCCTCCACAATAACCATTAACGGGTGACGTTACTCCACATGGGGCACCCCTCCCCTCATTAATAATCATGAGCGGGTGACGTCACTCCACTTGCTGCATCCCTCCACAATAACCATTAACGGGTGACGTTACTCCACATGGGGCACCCCTCCCCTCATTAATAATCATGAGCGGGTGACGTCACTCCACTTGCCGCATCCCTCCACAATAACCATTAACGGGTGACGTTACTCCACATGGGGCACCCCTCCCCTCATTAATAATCATGAGCGGGTGACGTCACTCCCCTTGCCGCATCCCTCCACAATAACCATTAACGGGTGACGTTACTCCACATGGGGCACCCCTCCCCTCATTAATAATCATGAGCCGGTGACGTCACTCCACATGCCGCATCCCTCCACAATAACCATTAACGGGTGACGTTACGCCACATGGGGCACCCCCCCCCCCCCCCCCCCCTCGTCAAAAATCATGAGCTGAACAATTTTTCTATTGAATATTTCAGATTAACTGCAATATACAACCGTCCTTGGACGGGCAATAAAAGCTAGTAGTATATGTTTGTGTGAGAGGTAGAGTGGAGTAATACTATAATTAATTAACAACATTGCAATCCCATTGATCTTAATTTGTTTTATGACCCTGCACATCAGTGCCAAGGGATTGTCAGCCTGTCCTTAACTTCTCCTAGGTCAGGGGTCAGAAAACAAAATAACAAGAGGAGGCTTTTTTTTCTCGAATTCAGTTAAATAAATACTCAGTATTTCAAGAAGTGCAATGCATGTGAATACGAGACGGTGACTCTAAATAAATAACGTCACATGTGGTTCCGGAGCTGCAGGTTGCCGACTCCTGGACTAAGTAATTTCATCTTCTTTGGTTCTTTCGGTAAAGTCACGTAGAATGAGAATAAAATAATAAATTGATCAAATAAAATGACACTAATATTCTCACGACGTTTCGGCCACAACACAAGCGGCCTTCATCCTCCAGACAGTCTCGTCCCTTCACCTGATGAAGGCCGCTTGTGTTGTGGCCGAAACGTCGTGAGAATATTATTGTGTTATTTTATTTAATCAATTTATTATTTTATTCTCATTCTACGTGACTTTACCGAAAGAAGCAAAGAAGATAAGTAATTTCAGCATGAAATGAGTGTTTGAGATGATATGTCTGCAATCGACAACACTGGGGAGACCAAGGTGGCTGGGCAAAGTTACTGTTCACACCTCGCATTCTCCCCTGGCCTTAGCAAGGCACTTTCAGGCAGCAGATTCCCTACTTGGCACCAATGGGGGCTCTTTGTTATCGTATTGAAAGAGTCGTGCTTTGTTGACATGCAAATGCTCTGTGTTTCATCCACAGGACACCACGCGATGTTGGATGTAGGAGTTCACCGACTGCACTGGGGGGAAAAAAAAAATGAAAGGCCAAGCAAAGAGCGACAGTGCTTTTGCCGTTCACCAGAAAAGTTTTGTACATAAATTTCACACTCGCGTGTTGGTAGAATTAATGAGTGTTGTTCGGGAGCCTGAAATCTTATTATCTTCCGAGAAGCATCAACACTTTGGGAGGGATAATGAAAAGGTTTGGATTCGGTGTGCGATCCACTTTCAGTGGGTCTCTTGGTAGGAATTTATTTTTGTTATAAAGAAGTAAATGTGAATGATATAACTTCAAGTCGAATTAACTTTCAAGGAAAATAGATATGTGCGTGTGTTCATCCTATTTTGTATCGTGTCTAATGATGCTGTCAAAGTCAATCTGTGCAACAAGTGGCTGAGTGGCCCGGGGAGTATAGCTATACTTAGGTCAGGGCACTAAGCCATCAATGCCAAAAGTATGGGTTGGATCCCAGTCACCAATGACTGACTAAAATAAACACAGAATTAGTGTTTTTTTGAATTAGTTAAGGAATACTGTTGATATTGTTTGAGTTTTTTAATACTTTGGTGAGGGCTTTGTTTGTTTTCAGGTTAACAGTCTTGAGTCGTTTCACGAGTTCATGTTTTCTGAGCTGACCGGTAACTATTAACATGGTGTCATCTCATAAAACACGATATCACTTACTACCAAACAGGGATTTTGGTTAAGAGCTGCCACAAACAGTCGATTGCCCTCCCATTTCAGCAATTAACTCTGTTTTCACCAACAACCCAAATGTCCTTGGTGCTCACCCCTCCGAGCAATACTCGAGGAGAATAACCGTGCTTAGCCTCAGATGTAATATATTTTAGTGCCGGCTACCATATTGTGATCCTGATGTGTCTTCGTGTTGTACTTCGTGTCGTGCTGCGTGTTGTTCGGCACGATGACTGACATGGAGAGCTGCAATCATCCGGGTGTGAAATATGTTTGATTCAAAGGGGCTCTGCATGATTAAGAATTAAGTGAAAAGGCTGCATGCCTCTCACATCGAGCTTTTATTTTTTCTAAGGAGTACACATTGTCCTGTTTCACTTTATTTAGTAAGTGACAAATGTCAACGTTCTCTTTACGCTTTGTCATGTATTTGTTTTTATTGTTACATGTATAATGACCAATATGACATTCATGTATGTCATCAAAAACATTGCCATGTGGACTCAGCGCAGTGCAAGTTTACGATTTTCGGGCTTTCCTTATCCAAATTTGGTGAACAAAACTTTGGTTGTGAAAAGCGTATAAAGTTTTCTTGTTTTTTTCACTGCCGTTTTCAATTCTGTCCTTTCTCTTCCAAAAAGACTAATGTCTTGTCTAAAGGGTGTTCTCATCCACCAGTTAAATGAAGACAAAATTGGGCAACCAGTGTATGTATCCACCCATTCACTTTATACCTTTATTTCCAAAGTTAAACTTCATAATTACTTTTAAAAAGTCACCGCGTTTGCCAGGCATGGTGCGGCATCCCTGCGATCCAGTGCTTCTATGTGTGGTTGCTGGATCACGTGAACGTCACTGTGTGACTGATCTTGCAGGGCTATGACGTAGCTACTAGATGGCAATAAAGCAAGTGGGTTTGGTGACCTGTCCTTATGACCTACTGATTGTCATCCCTTAGTATGCATGGGATTGTTTTCAGATATGCCAATTTTCTCCCACTTGCAAAAATAAGCATCAAAGAGTATTTGGCAAAACATCCCAATGTAAGATTATTCCTGAAAAAAAAACCGGATCCATTGATTATTTTAATTAATAGTTCAGGTGGTGAATTGTACAGAAAGATACAATAAAACCGCATATACGAACCATACAGCTATTTGTGACAATGTTGATTATGGAAGAATAATAAACTCGTAGGTCTGAGGGTATGAACACTTCAGCATTCGTGTTCCCTTAGTAACATTGCGGGGGAGTCAAGTTCAAAGTGCATGCCACTTAGCCACTTTGTTGGCATTTGAAACGTTCTGTTCTCGTGGCCACCTCGTTACATCTTCGACCGATTACCAAAGGGCACCAACTGCTTACCATTGTCCGTGAGAGACACTGCAGCGTTGTCAGAGAGCAATGTTTTAGCATTAACATTCTATTTCTAGGAGGGAATTTATTATTTTTGTGCGACTGACGTCTCTGAATTCTACCGTGCAAAATAATGAACCTGGGCCTTCACATGATGAATGGACATTTAGTCATGTCAGAGTGTGTCCATATATATTTGGGTAATGCTCATCTTTCTGTAAAATTGATAAATTGCGCAAATTCTTTTTCCCCATGGTGGGGCCCAGTCTGTCCATTTACATACCACTGTTGACCTCCATTGTGTACTGCTGCTTCCAATTTCCCCCAGGGGTTTGACTTTTGCAATCTTTCTATTGTGCATCAAGCACAGTGCTACGTGGCCTGCTTTGACTCTCGTGTGCGTATGCACATTCTCAGGGCTTAGCTCGTCCTAAATTTATTCCCGTGTCGCTGTAATATGTTTTTTTGCACTTTAAGCCTCGTTTATTATTGCCCATGTCTGTATGCTTCAGGTGAACTGGGAGTGACCGTTTTGCAGTGACAATTCTGTAATTTGCCAGATGTTGCCATGCCTGTCGTACACTGCTTTGGAGGTGGGGGTTGCTGGATCATGCAGAGATCATTGTGTGCACGAGACATGCAACGCAGTGTTATCCTCTTGCATGCCTGGGCTTTGTCCAGATACTCCGGTTTGCTACCACATGCAAAATGTGTAGAAAAGGATTATCAGTTTGTTTTACGTCATGGTTTTCTGTAATAATGCTTTGGATGAGCAAGATTGTTTAAAAAACACATGACCCTTCAAACCTCTCTCTTAAAGGAAAAGCATCTCCCTGGGGTGATGCTCTCTGGTGGACACTCTCAGACAGTGGTAGAAATTCCACATTTCCATGCAGGTGGCCGGTATCTCAAAAGGACGACCACATTCGATTGTGATAACGAGGTGGTACGATTGACTCGAAGGAACGACTGGCACATTTTACCCTGACCACGTTGTTGAACTCTTGTCCAGATCGTCGAGTCGAACACTCTAACCACTTGCATTTGGTTATAGTTTCTCTTTAGAAGTAATACGTGTTGGTGAGTAAGAAAGAACACGTGGCTTTAGTTGGGAGTCAATTCAAAGTTTCCCACCCTGCTCAAATGTGCAATGGCGTGGAGAGCATCTGCGTAAGTTGCTCTGAACCAGTTGTGGTAATTCCTCATTCCTGTGGCGGGTGCCAGGCAATCCCATAGGACTATAAATGCCATATTAGCTGTGAGTACGGGTCCAGTCTTAATGTGAAGTTGATTTCGAATTAATTAATTGGACATCCTCTTTGTGCCTGCGTGGTTAAGCGTGCAGGTGTGGCACGTGGATGAATTAACAGCGACACTCATCCGTTGTACGTCGCATAGTCTATACTCTTTGGTTTATTCGGTGAAGTCACCGTCTTCACCTGAAGACGGTTGCTTGTGTGGCGATCGAAACGTCGTGATCTATTATTTTTCTACCGACGTGACTTTACCGAAAGAACCAAAGAGTATGGGATTCCTGCAGTCACGAAAGCTTCAAATCAAAAGTCGCATAGCCTGTCCACTTTTTTACCACTGGACACAGCCACGTGTTGCTGTATCCAGGAATGTATGCTGATGGCTTGATGTACAATGTAACTTGCAGGTTGCTTTGCCCAGGTGTCTTGATTTACGTTTTGAGTAAGTTGTGATGTAATGCTTTTGTCATATTTTTTTTTATTTTGAAACTGGGTAGGGTTAATGATCACTGTACATACCTGTCTGTACAAATACACGTTTTGGCTTTGGGTGCACTGCGATGTCTGTTTTCATTGTGAAACAAATTAAAGTACTTTTAACATGAAGCATTTCATGGCTTTTGTGTTTCGGATTAAATTACGGTGTATTCCTCACAGATGTACTACAGTAGCAAGTCATATCCTTAGCTATCCTCCGTTCCTCATTGCCACTACAGTACCTTGCCTTCACCTGTTGCAGGCTTCCTCGCTGCTGCGCTACGAACCTCGTCACGCTTAGAAATCATCAGCATTGGGGACTTGGTCCTTGTCGGTTCTTGGCCCTGGGATCTCATTGGCATTAGACCTCATAATCGGCATCGAGCCTGCGGACATCGTGCTGGGGCTCTCAGTGGAACTCGTCGCATTATGAGACCTCGTCTGCATTGAGCACATAGACCGTCTGGCATGGGGCGGTGGCACGGCCAAGTTGTGGCATGCGTTGCTACTTGTTAGTGGCTCGCCGTGGTTCGAGCTCCACGGCCGCCCTGGTTCGAGCTCCACGGCCGCCCTGGTTCGAGCTCCACGGCCGCCCTGGTTAATACTGCTGAGGTGAACGTTCAAGCAGGGAGATGCTGACTCGGGGTAATGTGTGTTATATTATTAATTATTATTACGAATTGTTTTAACATAAAAAGGTACGTTATATTGTTATACTGATAAAACAAAAGCATCATGATGTGGCCTTAAAAGGAAACAGGTGACGTTTTGGGGAATGGCCTTAATTGCACGTAAATAGGTCAGAGAAATTACATTTAAAAATAAATGTTTTCCGATAACCAATTTTTTAGTTTCGATCAAATAGAATACCAAATTATTATTTGTTTTTTTTCGGTAAAGTCACGTAGAAATAAGAAATAATAAAATTACATAATAGTGTACGACGTTTCTATTGCAACACAAGCAATCATCATCAGGTACAGAAGAGCTAAATTTACGAGAGAGAGGAGACATAACCGCAGATATATATACAGACACAGATACAACAGGGGATACAGAGAGAGAGAAACGTGGGAGCACACTAAACGTGGGAGCACACTAAATCAAACAGGGTTAAGCAAAATTTTGCTAAACCCTGTTTGATTTAGTGTGCTCTCTCTATCCCCTGTTGTATCTGTGTCTGTATATATATCTGCGGTTATGTCTCTCTCGTAAATTTAGCTCTTCTGTACCTGATGATGATTGCTTGTGTTGCAATAGAAACGTCGTACACTACTATGTAATTTTATTATTTCTTATTTCTACGTGACTTTACCGAAAAAAACAAAGAATAATTCCTGCAGTCACGAAAGCTCAAAATTCAAGTTTGAATACCAAATTACATCAGTAGGGGTCGCGCTTGCAACGCCACGTGGAGCGGTCGAGCCACAGGGCTCGTGTATGACATCACAGCAATGGAACGTGACATTGACAAATTACTGTAAACATGCATTTCCAGGTTTCTTAATTAAGTTCTTCCAGTCGTTGATATCTTGTAAAATAACTAGACATGCTACACTATTCATAATAGAAGACTTGTTTTTGGGTTTCATCGCGTCGTTAAACCCGCCACCAACCGACAGCCAATTAATAAGGTTATTCACCTTAACAAAACGTGCAAATTCGTAACTCGTACGGCACACCGGTGTGTTGGAGAGTAAACTCACAACATTTACAATTCGAGTTACGACGTTTCGCCAGTAATTACAACCAGCATCATAATTCTACAACCAGCATCATAATTCGACAACCGCACTATGGCCTTAATAAAACATAGGGCGCTACGGTGGCGAGACAATAACTACCTCGCCCTGGTATTATTTAGGAGTTTGCATGTTCTCTCTTTCCGTGGTCGTGTGGATTTTTCTCCCGAGTCCTCCGGTTCCCCCCCCCCCCCTCCTTACATTTAGAATCAACATCACGCGTTAAGAGTAATTGGCCGCTTCTGTAAATTTCTCACACGTGGTGATGAGCCGCCACTTCGTTGAGCTTGGCATTCGCGATCGCCAGGGTCGCTTCTGAAAAAGATCGACAGCAGCAGCAACACGTGCCGCAGCTTGGCCGTGGCCACCATCCCCATGCCTTTTGGCGTTCTCTGGTCCAACACCGGTGAGACAGGGCCCTAAAGAAGGTTGGTGTAGACCAGGGGTGGGGAACGTCCTGCCCACGGGCCGTATAGGGCCCGCGAAATCATTTGGTCTCTGGCCCTGCCAAGGCAACCGCAGGCGGGACTCGAAATTCAATAAATCTAGGAGCAAACCTGGAAAAGCAGTTGCGAGTAGCAGCAACATCGTCAATACCGGCTAACATCATCACACGCCTCGCCAAAGAGAAGCAGTTCCAGCCATCACATTAGGGATTGAGTTAATGAAATGTTTGACCAAATATAACAGGCACATTTTTAAGTTGATAATTTTGTATGGCCCGCGAATGATGTTATAAATATCCAAATGGCCCTTGGCAGAAAAAAGGTTCCCCACCCCTGGTGTAGACCAATCCGTCTCAAAGACAATGCATATACAGGGTACTTAAAAAAAACTGTTAACACTTAAATGGGACTATGGTTTTTAATGGGAAAAGAACGGATAATGAATACACTGTAACATGATAACAAATGTAATTTTGATTTAAAGCTTTCGTGACTGCAGTAATTCATATTCTATATTTACCTCGCCCTGGTATTATTTAGGGGTTTGCATGTTCTCTCTTTCCGTGGTCGTGTGGATTATATATATTATATATATATTTTATTGTTTCCCTTCAACGTGACTTTACCGAAAGAGCTAAAAACAAATGTAATGTTTATAGCTTCAAAAAGTGTCTCCACTTGTTCGCCATCATTGTTAACACATTGCCTGGAATCTTCTCCAGGTAGACTCCAGAGCCTGGAGGCACGACATTTATTGTGGTATTGTTGCAAATTCTCAGAAGTGTTAAAACATTTTTGAAACACCCTGTACATTACCAGAGCATGATTTTGTTTGAATGTTCCCCACAGGTACGTGTGGTTCATGCAGGCATGATTCCTTACAAAAGGTTTTTGTTTGGTGTTTGAATATCTCAACACCTCCTGTTTCTTTGCCAGAAAGGGTACAAACTTATTCTTTATTTTTGTCATACTTTGAAACTGGCAAAAAAAGGTCCCATGTTCAGTCAGTGGGCCCTTAGGGGTCGTCCATAAATGACGTCACGCACCTAGGGGGGGGGGGTTAGACATTTTTGACGATGTGTGACGATGGGGGGGGGGGGGGGTTGAGAAATGTGACGTCACATCAAAATGCGCAACTCTAAATAAATATAGACAACACGTTCTACTTAATTAAAGACTTTTTAATGTTTTCTCTTACAACATCAGAGTGCAGCGCCACATTAAATACGCACTACAATGAAAATAGCTTAAAGCGATTTGAAGCATGTTTTATATTTTTTTGGGGGGGTGGGTGGGCAGAGCTTTGTGACGTCATATTTGAAGGGGGGTCTGACTGGTATAAAATAAAATAGTATTGGGAGGGTGCGGGTTGTGACGTCATCGCGCGAGCCACGTCGCAGCAGCAGCAACAACGAAAAAAAAACCACGACGACGTCACCTCTCAGTGCGAACTTTTAAACCAACCGCCGTGACGTCATCCGGCGCGCGCGGCACGTGACCGCTGCTTCCTTCCTATCTCCCTCCTCCTCCTCATCCTCCGTTCCATTCAACTGAGGCCTCTTGTGCTGTTAAAACTCGCAACGACCATGGGTAACTATCCTTGTGGAACACTCGCCTCGCTACCGCCGCCGCCGCCGTTTGTTGTTGTTGTTGTTTTAATGACGAGGAGCGAAGTTGTCTTGATTATGATCCTGGGTTGTCAAGGTGGGTGGTGGGGTGGATGGCCTCTCCCCGCACCTCCGTTCGACTTCTCCCCCGCCGACGTTGACGTGGCAACTGAGGCTCGAAACGTCCGCAACGAGTCGGGGTTTTTTCGTTCGCGCGTCCGATCGTGGCGTGTCGTGGTGTTGTTCTTCTTCTTCTTCGTCGTTAACCCTCTTTACGCGGCGCATTTCGCTGACCGGCAAAAACGAGCATTCGTCGGTCAAAGAAGAATCGTCGGTGCGTTTCGCTTTCAAATGTCGGGAGTGGAGTGTGGGAGTGGGGAGTGGGGGGCGGGAGGTGTTTTTTTTTTGCCCGTGCCAACGGGATGGGAATGCCTCCCCTCCCTCCCACCTTGGGGGATTTTGTCGACTCGTGAAATGTCACACAAATACGTCGAGTTGATTTAATCTAGACTGCAGGTGACTTTCCTATGATCTAACACTTGTTACTGCCACCGTTAAAATGATCAGGCCAAGGTCGGAGCCAATGGAGTCAACATTGGTGGTGGTGGGGGTACAAATCTTCCAGGGGTCTGGGCCCCCCCCCCCTCCGGCCCCCCCCCTCCAGGAAAAAAAATCTAAATTTGAAAATTAATTTCCTGTCTAAAATATATATAAAAAATTCATCAACACATAGGATTGACTTTTTATTTATTTTTAACAATAATGTCTAATAGTGTATATTGTATTACATTGCTCTGTTTTTTTCTTTTTTTTACCTTTTCTTGTTTCATTGTATGTAATGGCAAAGATTAGGGATTTATAAAGTACAACCATAACCACAATCATATAGAGTAAACATAAATCTTTTTTTATAGAAATATATTGGGGGGGGGGGGGGGGGTGGCTACATTTTGAGCATATTTGAATATTGGAGGGGATGTGTCCCAATATATAGTTCATGATTACGGCCTTGGATCAGGCCATGGTCAATCAACTGCTGGATGAAGTGCCTCCCCCACATCGTGCGGGTCGTGGAGAAGATTGTAACACATACTCTTTGGTTCTTTCGGTAAAGTCACGTAGGTAGAAAAATAAAATAAATAATATATCACGACTTTTCGATCGCAACACAAGATTGTAACCATACATCCCCACGCTGGGCAGTGCGTGGTTTGTGAATGTTGGCTGAGGAGGCGCCAAGACTGAGCGTGATGCCACTTGCCACTGATGTTAGCCGTGGCCGGGACGAGAACGCTGGAGAGATGGGTTATATCGGATGACTTCTAGAGCGCATGTCATATATCCTTTATTTAAAACAGAGGTTTTCGATTGGGGTACATTCTCTATTAAAGTCCTTTATTTTGACCAGGTGAGGTATGGTCAGATAACCCCACAGCCATCAGAGTATCGAGACCTGCGTGTACATTCATACACTTTTTGATCAGACTAACAGCCAGGTGGCCTTGTGATTAGAGCACCCACAATCCATTTGGGAGTTGGCTCAGACAATCCCTCGATGGTTGATAAAGTTCGTGCTATTTTGTGAAAAAGTCAGTAGTGGTCTTCTTATGAAGTGAGTGGCAGCTACCATGGCAATGTGGAATTTTCAAAGTGGTTCATGGCCGCAGGTGGAAAATAACCACCACCCGTTGCTCAGTTCAACAAGGAGACACTTTAACTCGACTTATTCCCCATCATACTTTCAGGGTCGATAACATAAGTACCACGTTGTGGCAAGTCAAGAGTTGTGCTATGGATATGCTCTCTCCAGTCATATAATGTGAAATGTCCACTGGTCCGCCAGTGAAGATGATTGCTACCCATGCATCAATCGATTAAAGTATATTTGTACGTTCAAGTTGAATGCATAGAATTGTGTGTGTGTGAGAGTATTGGTTATTTTGGGTTCAGTATGTAATTGTTTTAACCCATACAAACACTTAGAGAGCACTACAAAGTGCCATGGTGAAAACAAACGTCCTAAATTTAATTGAGATTCAGAAAAACGATCAAATATAGGCCAAGTAGGGAACACTGTCGTTTAATCATACAGAATAGTTCCTCAACTGGTGAAGGCATCGAGTTGCCCACTGAGCTATGGCCTGCTGAAACGTAGAGATAGGCTATTGGGATCAGACAGGACAGACTGGACCCATTTTTGGTGACATACAGATGTCATGACGTCACAACACCGCGTGATGTTGCATTGACGTCATGTGACCCACAAGCGCACGCTAGTCTTATTTTATGGCCTGCCAGAAAATACTGTTTAAAAGCCTTTTGACATAGTATTCTGCATTTTACTTTGATTGCTGCTTGCAATTCATGTTTGCACCTATTCTCTTAGTTTGTCTTTGGCCTTCATATGTTACCCTGGGTCTTAACTATTTTAGCTTTATGAATAGCCAAGCAGTTTGCTTGTAATCATCAATATGATTTCCAAATTCCTCTGCTAATTTATACGTGTATTTACCCAAAATGTGCCTTACTCCTAAAGTGTTTGTTAAACTTGTGAGGTCAGTTTGTGCTGTGTAGGAACCTAAATTCCAAATTAGAAAGTACAAGAGGATTCTGTAAAGCTGTCCCCACATAATTAGCTTCTCAGTTCTCTCGTGTGGTAGCGATAATTATTCAAATAGGTCATACGCATTAGTCATTGGCTAGCCACTGCAGGATAAATCCCCCCTTATGCCATCACCATTCCTCATGGCCATTATGCCACTGGCACATGAATAGATCTCATCGCTTCATCTGCGCAATCACCCTCTGACGCATTCCCTTCATTTGCTACTGTTCTGTTACCGTTCATGTTCATTGGCCAAATTTCGTTTTCACGTTGTGTCTTGCCTAAGCCCACTTAACAGTTAATATGATGTCTCTGCTTGGCATTTGGCTTCCTAATTCATATGCACCTCTTTTCTGTTTTTTCACTGCAATTCTGAACATGCTTCTATTAAAATCACGATGCTTCTATTCAAACCTTTTCAGTTTTTCTATTTGCTTTTGCCTCCCCGCCTAATTTGAGTAAAATAAAGCATATTCTTGGTTCTTTCGGTAAAGTCATGTAGAAGGGAAACAATAAAATAATAAAAATATAAAACAATAAAATTATCACGACGTTTCGACTGCAACACAAGCAATCGTCATCAGGTGTGGTTTTCACACCTGATGATGATTGCTTGTGTTGCAATCATCATCAGGTGTTTCCCTTCTACGTGACTTTACCGAAAGAACCAAGAATATGAATCCCTGCAGTCACGAAAGCTTTAAATCAAAATTGAAAATAGGGCACTTTAATTAATCTCGTGTTTGCTGCCCGAAAATGTTTGTGTGTTCAGTCGCGAGGTCAGCAGAGAGCTTTCAAAGCGGCGGTAGCAGCAGCGGTGACGACTGCACCGTGCTTAAAATAAGTGGGGTCAAGGGAGACGCTTTGTCACATCTCCATTCACGCATAGAAGTACTCTCGGTCCCCAAAAAATGATATGTTTCATTGAATTGAAAAAAATCAATGTCACTCAATTGTGTGCAGTGGGCCCCGTGTGTGTGATGTACATTCTCACATTGAATAGATCCCGGCGAAGAATTAATGGTTGAATGGAAGTGGTTCATTTTCGGTGGCTGCTGCTGCTATTGCTTCTGCTGCTTTTGAGTTGCACACTGCTGCAGAATTATAATTGTTTTCAACCGACCAGCTCATTCATTGTTGTTAGTAATTAGCCTTGCATGGGTGTAAAAATGGTTATACAAATGGTCATGCTATTATTCAGTGGAAGCGTAGATGGCCTTTATAACCAGGTAAGAGCCCATTGAATCGATAGTTCTGTTGATCATTCCCCAGTGGAGACCTGTGTTAAATGAAGTTGAACAAAACAGCAAATGCCATTGTGTAAACAAAAAAAACCACGAAGAATAAAAATAGATATTGAATAATAGATCATACAATATGCAATCGTGAAATGTATATAATAAGCATTTGAAAAAATATATTTACATTATTCATGTGCATTAGTTGGGTCGATGACCAAATCACCTGGAATTCACCTGATCCCTTCAGATCCTGGAAGCTAAGCAGTGTTGACCCTGGGTAGTGCTTGGATGGGTAACCACGATGCACTACATGTTTTGGGACAGCAGAGGCCATTGCAGCATCAGTAAGACTCATTTTGAGATGCTGCTTTCCCACCACAGGATTGTGGAATCTTGATCCGTGTATGAAAACCTATAATAGAGATGAACACCAACCCACGCTCATTTGAGCACGGAGGCAATTTGGCACGATGTCGATTCACTCGATTAAAACAAAATCTTAAAATTTTCACATTTGAGACTGGGGCAGCAAACGTGGCATACAATGGCCTACTCGTGTGAATGTCCTCATGAGGGGTTTTTCTTTTATCGCCCCCCAACAACATAGTATGTGGTTGTTCGGGGGCGCCTGCGGTGCCACCGGACAACCACTGCCTGCGGCGGCCCCCAACAGACTGGTCAAGTAAATCATTACGATCCACGCGCACAGCGTGCGGTGGGCCTTCATCCAGCAGCGGATTTAAGCACCAAAAATAACTACAGTACTAATGTAATTAGAACCGTGTGTATATGTCCGTACGTAATAGATGTGTGTGTAGTGCACGTGTGTTTTACCGTCAAAATTATTATTGAAAATTATTATCGTCACCACCTGCTTGAGTAATTCCATGCAGCAGTGAACAGGCACTGACAGCGAAACAATAACATGAAATATGGCTCCATTGTAACAACGCTTACTACAAGGCTTTGGCCAGCTACCATAGATACAGTTATCAGATGCCTCCCAATACATCACAAACATAATGGACTTAAGCTTTGGCATTGTCTGAAACTAAGTTGGTGTTTCTATTTAGACGCAGGTAATAGCCCAAAGGAATAAAGTCTGTTTCATTTTGTAAGGAAGTCAGACTCATAGGTTTGATTTCAGCTGCTGAGGCCCCATGGAAATAAGCAGCTAAGCAACAAGGATGACCACAGCCCAAGACCGTCGACAGTTATTTTATAACCAGAGGAAAAACTAAAAGTATTCACACACAACTCACACCAAAAACTTACTGCAAACAGGATACACAAGAAATATTGCTTAAAAACAAATATAAAAGTCGAAAAATCCCGTCAGTTGTGTAAATACACCACCCAGCCTCGGACATGATGCTATCACATAGTTGCAGCATATTCGGTTGTGGCAGAAGCAAATCTGCTTCATGGTCTTAAAACAAACTTAGCCAAGGTACATTTGGAATTGTAAATATGGAAATTAAGTATAAAATGATATATGACATGAAACGTGACGGAACTTACTGCACACCGGATAAACAGCGGATGATGGATCACATTATTCAATGGACACAAGAGGGTACACTTTATATACACCATAAACATTACGGAAGCTAAGTTGTATTATTCACATTTGTGGCAGAGGTCATCCTGCAGCATGGCCTTCAACCATGCATAAGAAGGGACATTTTAAATATTAAAATTGGTTATGAGGACATTCTAAAATGTGACTGCTGTGAAAGACAGAGCACTGGAACCAGCCTGAGTTCACAATCTAGACATGGCCATAGAGCACTTAGGATGTGCCCCCCGTAAGGTTTCTTGAACTTCCTGTTGGGTGGACAATGTACGTTAAATGGTGAGCTGATTTGGATTCAAGAACTTTGAAGATCGTCGGCCCGCGTACATCTCTGCGTAACTCCAGGGAGGTTAGGTTATTCTTAGAGTAAAGCTCACAGTGCGGAGTTCTCTATAATGAAACATAGTTATCTGGCACTCACAGTTGAGAGGTTGTTAAGTGCAGACAATATTCAGAGCATAACTGAGCGGTTCACCTCGCAAAGGCCTAACAGAAATAGTAGAGGAAGTATCCCTCGCTCAGCAATGCCCCCCCACTCCTTCCCCCACCATTCCCATCTACCCACCCTTGGGTGCCCCCCCTTGTGCATGCCAATCCTCCAGGCATCCCCCATCCTCCTGTAGTCCCCCCCCCCCACCCTATAAAGTTTAACAAAAATCTTCCAGGTAAGACCCACCACGCTGTATAGCTCTTTTTCAGAAGCGACCTGTCATGCACAAATGATCACTCAACAAAGTGGCTTATCATCATGTGGAAATGTATAGCAGCCAAATACTTTAAACGCACGTTGATTCTAAACGTGGAGGGGAAAAAACGGAGGCCCCGTAAAAAAAAAAAAAACCCACACGCCCGCAGGAGAGAGAGAGAGACACGGAAATTCCAAATATACAGCAGCAGGCGTCACTGTCGGGATCGAATCCACGACCTCCTGCATACCAGGCGAGGGAGATAACATCTCGCCACCGTGGCACCCGCACCGCCTCCCCAAGCGCATCATTGCCAGTGGGGCGTGGCCCCTCGTGCCAGGCACCCTGCATTGTGGCCCCCCCCACCCCTCCCCCACCCTATGCTGGGCTCCTTTCCCCTGATATCACTCACTGGACGTGAAGCAATGGGGAGGGAGCCAATGAGAACACTGGGGGATGATCGACGGCACCACGGCGAATGTGTATCTATTTATATAGATGTACTGCTGTGGAAAAGCCACAGGACTCGTCCTGTGTGACGACTGGCTCACCTGTTCCATCCGCCCATCCAGTATTCATATATACATAAGATGCACCGCCTTTTTGAGAAACATCAGCAAGCTTTCGATTAACGCGAGGTGACGCGCTTTAGCAATGATACTGCTCGTCGCCCCAAATGCGGCACAAGCACCGTGGTGACGTCACCGCGACTTGGCGGCAGTCGTCGTGTGCGAATTAACGTGCGTATATGTATTTGGTGATGTATTTCTGCGTGTGTATGTAGCCGTGAGCCCAGCGGTGTCATTCCTGCTGTCGTCGCTGCTGTCCCTGCTGCTGTTTGCCGGCATGCAAATGTACAGCCGGCAGCTGGCGGGGGGCGAGTGGCTCACCATCTTCGGAGGATTCCTGGGATCCGTGCTCTTCCTCTTCTCCCTCACCGTATCCTTGGAGGCAGAGCCCGGCATGGCTGCCCTTCCCCCCCCCCCCAGTCGAGAGCAGCCGGGCGATCGTGCGTCTGGCATTCTGGCTTTTTGCATCACTGAGCCAACCGCAGCCCCTCCCCCCCCCCCCCCCGGGTTGTATTCTAATCGACGAGGATTCCACCTTTAACTCTTGAGGCCCTTAGCTGTGCATTAATTCAGGATGGGCAGGATTCAAGCTTTTCTCGTTTAGATCAATGTTCGTGGATTTATTAACAAATATGTTAATCCACGTCGGTGCAAACGGAAACAAACAAAAAGCAGCAATGCATCCGTGTGAATCCGGCGCTTGTATCATGAGAATAGTTCAACTTCAATCGGTGATTGTCACATCTGTGGTGGTGGCGGCAGCCTGAGACTGTTTTACTCTGTTTGCACTTGTGATAATGTAGTTGGAGCACTCGATTCGCAATCTTCTCTCCATTGTTGATGAAACGACGATTGCCTTGATGGAAACACAACTGTTGTTGTTCTGTGGATAGAACAAAAACACCCGCCATACTAACGTGGAATGTATGCCACTGGCTCAGTGCAGCTCATGGAGATGATCGCTACTTGATAATGAAACTAAACTCAACATTTTTTTTATATTTTACCAGGTAAGCACCACTGAGCTATAGCTATTTTTCAGAAGTGACCTGGCCACAAATGATAGCTCAACGAAGTGGCCTATCATGTGGAAATTTAGAGCAGCCAAATACTCTACGTATATATTTCTCAATGTGGAGGGGAAAATCAGAGGACCAGCAGAAAAATGCACACTCATTAGAGTGGAGTGACATTTTAACTTGTGGTAAAAAATAATCCTTCACATAATGATGTCTTTCTCCTCTAAAATGAGCAATGCACATTCCCAATGTTTCATTGGATGTTGAGCATTTAGACCTGTAATTTGATGTAAAAAAGTAATGATGCCGATGATAACAATGAAGGTAATGATAATAGATTTATCCATATTGTCAAATACCGTGAGTTGAAAAAAATGAGCGGCTCCGGTTACTAATTACCCCATTGAGGAATGTCTCTGCTCTCGTTATCATCACGAGATGTAACTTGATTCCGCTTCAAAGCCCGCAGTATCACGTGGGTACAAAAAAATGCTGATTCAGCACTACATGCATCTCTGGCTTAAAACACAATTTTTCAATTTTCGTTTATTGATGTATTGGGTGCAACGGCATACACTTAATCTGTGATTCGGGGGCAAGGTTGATGGATCACACCAAAACACAGCCTGCAGGGCAAAGAGAAGGCAGTATCAGCGAGTAGGTTTGTGAACTATTTGTGGAAATTGAAGCGTGCTGTCCCCCGTTCTATGCGTGGGGTTTCTCTTATTCTGATCTGGAGCTCTGCCTTCACGGTGGCTCCTTGCCTGCCATCCTCGCCATCCTCGCCATCCTCTGTTATCTGCCTTCCTCTTTTCCACAAATGCCCTTTCAGCTCCTCAAACATTCCAAGCCTCCGGCTTCATTCTTTCCCTTAAATTCTTCTGTCTATGATGTAGGTTTTCTGTACTCTCCTCCCATTTTCTCACACCCCACATACTAAAAAGTCAGAAACTAACTGAGCTTTGTGTAAAGTATTGATATGCTTACTTTCATTGATCATGAATTCAGTTTTTTATTTTTATCACCGTCATAATCATCAGAACCGCGTGGCCATTTTTTTTATTTTACTAGTGGAAGAAAAAACCAGAGCCTCTTGGAGAATACCCACTCGCACAAGAGGATAACACCGCCTAAAAATCTGCACAGTCAAATGGACGTGAACTCACTTGCTGGACTGCCAATGGCCTGGCAAGCATGTTTGGGAGTTTCACAACACACAGAGATCACTGCGATCTGCCAATCCCCACCTCCAAAATGCTGGATGGGGTTATATTTTTTTTTAAAGAATCAGAACTACCAACCCGATGCAAACTGGTCCAGTGCTGACCATTCTGGCCACTGTTTGTTTATCCCTCCTGCCGAAATAATAAAAATGTATACAAAAAATGTGTTTTCGGTTTAGCGTAGCCCCATCATTTAGACAGAGTGCTCTTGCCAATAACGTCCTGTAACCCAGCAGCATTTGTTTAACAAGCCTGACTTGCTGATGACACCCCGAATGTCTTGCTTGCCTAAACATATACGTTGCTAGATAATGTTGGTTTGCAGAGCCAACAGGCTGATGTAGTTTTAAAAATAAAAATGTACAATTTGAGACACGGAACAGAGTTACGCTTGCACAAGAATAATGACGAGGTCATGCACACAGCAGGCCAAGTAATAATAAACCGTAGCTACACTTTTATTATTCCGCTCTCGGCTTCTCTCTTGGGCCGCCGCCGCTCTGTATTCGAATGCTTCGGCGCGGAGCCTCCTTTGCCTTTTACTCACCACTGGACCACTTTAATGGAGACCCTGAAAGCGGCCATTTATTTCACCGCAGGCCTTTCCCAGTTTAAAGCCCGAAGCCCCACTTTCTTCCCTGTAATTTGGAAGCAGATGCGTTGCTCGTACGGAGGCGGTGTGCGACGGCGTCGATGCGAGGGGGGGCGCGCAGCTGGTGTTACCTGTGGCGTGAAAAATTGCCTAGACGCTTGTAGGCGGCAGTGGCTTCGCGGTTAGCACGCTCGACCCGAATCCTGTTGCCCGTAGGTTCTACTCCAGCTTGCTGCAGCGCTGTGGAAACATTGGCAATGCAAAAAAGTGTTGTCTTGTCGCAATGGGACACCAGCATAGAGGGAAGCAGTACGATGGGAATCCTGATGAGAGGGCAACAAAGCTGATCATCAATAGATGGCTGCTAAAAATAAGTGAACACTTTGTGATGCGTGTATATCTTTGCCACATGGCGAGAGTGGCTCCAGGCATATAGGAGTATTGCATTTCTACGCACTGGAAATTCTTGTCGGCCCAAATCTTGCATGAGTGGAGAGGTGCTTTGCCTCGGCTTAGCATTGTTCAATATCGCACGGCATCATTAGCTGATGTTTGATCCTCGTCAATGATTTCACGTGCTCTTTAACATCCACTTTGCAGTAGACTGCACGCTTTGGTAATTGCAGCGGCCCGCAGTGTTAAAACATGTTCGCTGAAAGGGGATAATAATGGCTCTTGTTCGGCGCTAATTTTCTTCTGGATTGAGGCCAAGTGGACAGGCACAGGGAATTCTAGTCCCTTGACGTTGAAATAAATCACATTATACCTGGGCAACAAAGGCTACATTGTCCCGTCTGAATGCTTGGCAGCCCGCGGACAGTTAGCGTTCAGTGCGCAGGTACAAGCACGATCGAATCGCCCATGAAATGACAGGGAGAGGTAGCTGCCCCAACAAAAGTTGAATGGTACTGTTGAAAGTAACGTTATTTAAAAAAAAAAGGATTGTCAAGTTTTATTGTCATTGGTTTGCACGTGCCCGAAACAACCTTGTTTTGTTATAAAAACTGAAAAAAATGTCGAAATTTGCAAAAAGGTTTAGATCTGCAGAAAAATTAATGGGAGAACATACCGAGGTAATTGTGCAAAACCCACACTCGAGAGAGGAGAGCGGTTTGCTCCTGACAATGTGGGGATGTGGGCACCACGGTGGTGAGGTGTTAACTACCTCGCCTGGTCTACAGGAAGTCATGGGTTCGATTCCAACCCCTGTCGCCTGTATATTTGGAGTTTTCATGTTCTCCCAGTAGTCACGTGGATTTTTCTCCGGGTCCTCCGGTTTTTCCCCTCATTTAGAATCGACATCGTGCGTTCAGAGTATTCTGGCTGCTCTAAATTTCCACATGATAACAAGCCACTTTGTTGAGCTATCGTTTGTGGCCAGGCCGCTTCGGAAAAATGCGCGTGACCAGCACAGCGCAGACAAAAATAAAAGTGTGCAACTGTGTTGGCTAAACATCGCAGTGCTGAAAACTTACCTGCCTACTACAACGTCACCGCCAAATGCAGAAACTTGACAGGACCCTCCTGGAAAAAAGAGTCTTGAGATTCGGGTGAGACATTTCTCGGTATACAAGCCTCTCAAAAAAGTGTACAGTGATGTTACAGACGCCATTAAACCCTTCGCTTATAACACAGACATTTGGAGCCTTACCGTGTGGAATTAATGCAGATTCTATGGAAACGTAATGCACTCGCCGAACTGATTAATCGAAAGCAGCGATCGACAGAGCAGTTTATTATTTCAGCTGGTCACCATCGCAGCTGTCCCGTGGCCGTAACGTTGTACCGCCGGCGGAACGGCGCGTGTAAATAACGACGGCCTCGTCAAGGTCACTCATCGCTTTCCGCGTCGGGTCACGAACTTTTCAATCGCGCTGCCGGAACGTGCGCGGGGACGGGCGGCTCGGCTGGAGGGATTAGGCCGAGGGGCCGTGACGGCTAGAGGCGGCCCCCCCGTGATTGATGCGTCGCGAGGTGGCGCGCGGCGGCGAGCCCCAGCGAGCGAGCGTGAGCATTCTGCCGCCTGTAATGAACCCTCTTGAGTGATCGTCGGTAATCGCCGCGCTTTGCTCGAGCTGCGAGGTGATCCACGAACGCTGCCGCAGCTGCCTCTGTTATTGTTCATTCATTAGGTTATGAGCTCATCTCTTTCCCCTTAGGCGGAAAAGCTCCCCGTGCTCGGCTGCGAGGCAATGAAGTGTCTGCGTTTTTGCGATTGCGACGGTGCAATTCCATTTGGATTTCACGATGAGTCTTTAAGTGCACTTGTATTTCAAGGTGCTGTGCAATCGGGGGAAAAAGCAACAACGCATCTGATGAAGTAGATAGCGGGCTAATAATGATCTAATGTAAAACGGATTGCTGCGGACTCCGGTACATCTCTTGCTTCAAGAGCTTCAAGCCGTTTTGCGCAAGTGTCGGAACAAGAGAACAAACGGAAGTTTAGACGCATTACTCACGTTGACTTAAGGAAAGTGGGCAGGGCACGTCCGTAGCACGTCCGTAGCTAAAAGGGTTGAAATGGCGACTGGTCGAGGACCAGCAGCAAAGCGGCAGCCAAAGGAGCGAAGGTGCCCCAACAGGAAGCGTGCACTGCAAAGAGGGAGGAATGAAATAAGCCAATGCCGGTACTAGATGGGTTGTTGCATCGCAGGACCTTGATGGATGGCGATGGCTTGGGGAGACCTTCAGAATTAGGTTGATGGCTGATGATTAATTTAACAATGGAATTGTAGGATAGAGTGATAAATCGGTTTTAGTCCAAATTTAAATTGCCTCCCTGTGTGAATGAGCCATGGGGTAGTGCTCACCTCTGTTGGCTGCCCTGAGCGGTGGAAATTCCACATTCCTATGCTCTTGGGCCTTTGTCTTCAAATCAACCCCTGTTTATTTCCAACCAAAGTTGTTCTTATTTTGTTGTGTAGGGGTAGTTGGTGAACACAGCCTGATCACAAATGAGTGAAAAAATAAACTCCATTAAAGTTGGTTTCCCATTGAAGCCTGCGTTTTAAGCTCTGAATGCTACATATTTGGGTTTGATTGAGGGCATAGAAAAAATGTAAAAAAAATGTGCACAACGAAGGCCATTAAAGCGACTCCAGCGGTAGTTCTGTCTTGTCATTCTCGGGGGCAGCACTCCTGGCTGCGCACAGTTGCGATGGAATGGAAATTTCATCTCGCGACACGCTGATGGTGCAATTGGAAGAGAATTTGGGGAAGGGAAATAAAGGAGAAATGGAGCCTTCTGCCAGGTGTTTTGAGCTCCTTGCTGCCACAGCAGACAAAGCATGTGCACGGCACAATAGGGAACGTGACGCGATGATTATTTATGATAAGGGGCTCGAAAAAAAAACACGGTCGTGTTCGAGCGATGAATGTGCTGTTTCCTTAATGCCCTCGCGCAGGCTTTCAACAACCTGGAGAGCATCATCTTTGGCAAGGGATTCCAAGCCAGGATATTTCCAGAGAGTAAGCACCGTTTCCAGAAATAAATTAGAGAGACACGACAATGAGTTGGTCAAGCTCTCCCGGTCAAATTGAGACATCGGCGCTTGTCCCATGTTTACAGCCCTGCACGGCCAGTTGGGGATATTCCACATTCCTATGGCAGTGGTGAGTCTCCCCCATTGGACAGCTGCGGTTGACATTCCCCCGCAAAAGTGGTTGCTCATTGTATTGACCCGGAGGGATGATGGGCTTAGTCAACCCCCCCAATCAGGATGTGAACTCCGCGACCTTCCGATTGCAGGCCGCTCAATCTACCGCCGAGCAGCCTCCTGGCCGGATTAACAAAATCACAAAAGGTACCTTGGTTATAAACCAGGGGAACCTCGGTGGTAAGTGCATGTGTGGCTTCAGTGGAGCATTAAATGGGCAGTGAGAGTTATAGCTATGGTAATCTTTATATGTATATATGTGTATTTAGCGGAGCGGTGGTACGGTGATTAACGCGCTGGCGCTGTGAACCCAGCGACTGGAGTTTAATTCCCAGCCACGGTTAACGTCAGGGGTGAGTGACGTCGGCGCCGTGATATTCGCCGACCATCACAAATTGGCGTGATGAGGTATGGTCGAACAGGTCCCGTGACCAAATGTATGAAAAAAAAATCGATGTAATCTGGCCAAGTGGTGCTGGGGATAGCGCACACTTTCTTCACAGGCATGCATTTGAATCCCAGCCAGCGGTGTAACTCGGCCAATCATCCCTCCACTCTCAAGCAAATTCAATAAGTGGTCATAATATGGGAAGAGTGGCCACTGCCGCAGTAACGTGGAATTTCCACCACAGCCTCGGAGAGTCCTCGGTGGAGGTGAGCTTTACCTGGCATGTGCTCGGTAAGGCAGCAGAAAGCACACTGCCTTTTTTGAGTCCGAATGCCGATTTCACAATGGGATAATTGTAGAAAATGTTCATAAATACAGTCCCAATCTTTGACAAGTGGTGATTGTGTTTAACCCTAAAGCTGACTTTTTCTCAATGGTGTGTGTGTCTGTCTGTGTTGCAGTTGCGCTGTGCCTCCTGCTATCCATGTTTGCCTCTGGGCTCATCCACAGGGTGTGCGTCACCACGTGGTACGTATGTCCATCCCCGCTGCTCCCCAACGGCGGCAGGCTTTGATTAGCTTGTAGTAGGTGGCTACATTGCCCCACCGTGGGGCAGGCTGTGCTTTAGTTGGGGCAGTCAATTCGCAATCGTAATGGTGAACTAAACATCAAGCGGTGGATTGTGGGTATAACCGTGCGAGAGCACGGGTTAAGAACCAATCGCCCCATTCATCATTCACGCTGCCTGTAACCAAGTCGCCTAGAATGCGCCTGATCCCATCAGGCCTTGGAAGCTAAGCAGGTGTGAGCCTGGATAGCACTTTAGTGGGCGACTGCCATGCATGTATTGATGTTGAACCGCTTTCGCACCGGTATGTGGGCAACCGTGCAAATCGGAGGTGCGTAACAGGTGTTATAGGCCGTGGGGCTCGACGGTGGGCCCTCAGAGGGCGGTGGAGCACGACATTGGTGTGCTGTACTTCCGTGTCCCCATGTCGATGCTCCCCCGTGTATCACAGCAAATTGTATAACTGACTGACACTTTAGACAATGAAAGCTCTTGAGAGTGGAGATCACACGTGTCGTCGCAGTGCGTGGCGTGATTTCCATCTTTGACGTTGCAAGTTTGAGGCCACGAGTTGAAATGCATATCGGGGGGTCAACCCTTCCATTCCTCCTTCCAGATTTAATACAAACGGCGCACCACCCTTGTGTGAAAACCAACAGCGGGTTGTCATGTGGTTAGACTGCCCTCCCCTACCCCCTCCAGTGTAATGTGGAATTTCCACCACCGTGGACCCGAGGGCCAACCGATGGAGATGAGCGCCAGACCCCATCGTGCTCGAGCAGAAAGGAAGCCACTTTTGACTTTGACCTGTTCAGCGTGAATGCGTGCGTACAAGCGTGTCTGTGTGTGTTGGTTGGTTTTACGGGGAGCGGCAGTGTAGCGGTCAGCGTTGCTGCACAATGAACCCAGCAACTTGAAACGCGATTCCTGCTCTCGGTCAACACCAGTGACGATTACGCTGTGTAGCAAAAAAATATGTTGTTCCTGTGTAGTAAGTGTTATTGCCTAATTGCTTATGCCTCAGGTACAGAAAATGGCTGTCATTCCCCACAAACTTTGCTTTTGTGACCAGGACAGTGATTTTTTGAAATTGACCTATTTTTAATGAGAAAACGTGGTGTGCATTTGTGTCTTTGACATAAAGTCCTGGTCACAAAAGCAAAGTTTGTGGGCGAATAATAGCCATCTTCTATACTTTTTAGGAATAAGCAATTAAAAAAAGAACACTTAGTACCCAGGATAAAAAAAATTGTGTTACATAGTGTTACCTGAGCCAGTCCTCTGAGCTTCCGCTAGGTCGTCTCAGCCTGTATTGAGTACCGGTATGGTGGTGTGTGAACATCGCCATGGGGGAGACAAAGGCGGCCGGGAATTGTGCTGGCCACCTGACACCCGCGTGTACCGTGCCGACCTTCATGGGTGCTCGCTACAGCACTTGCCCCAGAAATCTGTTGAGGCTATGCAGGGGATCTTTGCCTTTCCGAGTTGGGGTTGGGTATCTACAGTGTGCGTTACGTGCGCGTTTGGTAGACGTGTGCGCATCGTTTTTTTGCGCGGAAAATAATTAACGGCGGGGGGTTTGTAGCAACGTTCTAAGACTACACGTTTTGCAGGTTTAATAACCGTAAAAAAATAAAATGCACGAGCGTTGTTGCGCCGCGAACAGGGAGAGGAATTGGGGCGCTCCGCGCGAGAGAAACGGCGCGGCAAAGTGGAATCGGCCATCGCTGAGAGTCTTATTAAACCAGTCGCTTCCTAGCGTCTGGTTTGCTTGGGCACAAAGCAACCTCCCCCCTCCCCACCACTGCACCTCTCGTGCCGTGCGGCATGAATAGAGAAATATGATAATAATGCAGCTCATTAGGATGAGAGATCGCGGTGCCGTCGCCAAAATGCATTCATCAAGAATTGGCAAGGCCCACAGAAAGTAAATCTCGTCAAGTAGAGGGAGCAGATTATTAGGGGTAGGTATAGTGGGTGGTGGGGGCGGAGTGGGTTGGGAGAGAGGGGATGTGTTCGGGGTCGGGTTCCCAAATGGGACTTGGATTTGCATTATTTTAACCCTTTCCCGTTTCTGAGACGTCTGCAGCTGGGGCGTGGTGTCGGCCACCCTCGTGTGCCGCGCCAGCCTTCGTAGGTGCTCGCTAAGAGCACTTGCTCTTAACAGTCCATCAAAGGCTTATTGCATCGTTGTCTTTGTGTGTGTGTGGTGTGTGAGTGCAGCTTCATATTCTCCCTGGTGGCTCTCTACTACCTGAATAAGATCTCGTCGACCGTATACCAGTCGGTGCCTACCGCGCAAACGGTCGTCAAGCCAGTGAAGAGCAAGAAGAAGTAGAGCTGCCGAGGGCTGGGGAGGGGGGAGACGCGACGCCGACCAGACTTCGTCAACCAAATGTTAGCGGAGAACCAGTGTGACAACAACAATAACAGCTGCTCCACACACGTTCCTCTGTGTGGTCTTATCCGCGTGGGTGCATGCAATTGTGAGCGAGCGAGCGTGCGTGTGCGTGCGTGTGTGTGTCGGGAGTGGGCGTCTTTGTTATGGTAATCACCTTTTCATATTACAGCACTCGAGGATGCGGTTGGGTCGGTCGCCGCCACGTGCCTGGCTGCCTTTTCTCCCTCGCCCGTGCCGCTGTTGACCACACCGCCGCCGTCCCCCCCCCCCCCACCTCTCCCGAGGTTGTCATTTCAGGCCGAGTCACCGATCACTGCAGGGGAAATTCGCCAACCACCGCTACCGCTCTTCCCGCGAACACACTTGCCCCTTGCACTCTATAAGGTCAAACTTGGTGGGGTGGGGGGGGGGGGTATCGGGGGGAGGGGGCTCTGGTGGTTAGCGGACTGCGCTGCAGTCGCCAGCAATCTGCCGTACATTTTCCGGGGCTTTGTGCGTTGGCTCTCTAAAGCAGCGTGTGGCATCCCCTGCCAGTGAGCAGTCGTGTCGACTAAACGAAACAAAAAAACTACTGCGTAGGCCAAGATGCGAACTACTGTGATCGCAACGTCGTCCACGGCCTGACAAAGCAATGCAGCAAGAATGCAGTCTCGCGACCGGTTTCGACCTTCTGGGTCTCATCGACAGCGTAAGGGTTCTCGCCCGGGTAATCGGTTGTGAGATTGATGATAAAGACGCTGGTCGCTCTGCAAAGGGCGTTTTCGTAGTTTTTGTGGGCAGAACTGATCCGCATGAGCAAAACCCCATGTCTAGCTGCGGCAGCTGGTTTACATTGTACTCCTTCATTCCCAGACATCCGTACACTTTCCGTATTGCGGTTTTGGCTGCGTGTTAAAGTGGACTCGCTCAGCTCTCGGAGGCTGGTTAGCTGATTGGGCGCTCTTTTGTGGACGGCGGGCGTACTTTGGGGTTTTCTCCTTGATTTTGTGCAGCCCTCGGTTCACAGCGGCCTTGTGTTATCTAACACGCTGACCATCTCACTGCCACACGTTGTTATCGGTCACTGCTGTGGGTCAGCCTTCAGGTCAATTCATCCTAACGTGAGTGTCTGGTGTTGGTATTGTAGACGAAGGCCAGTGTGGCGGGTGAGCGAGACAGACAGCGACAGCCTGGCTTGCGTTTCGTTCGTTAGTGTGCCGAGCCGAGCCAGCCCTATTAGGTGTCCACCAAACAACTGCAGCCCCAACGTCCTTTGTACAACTTAACGGGGAAGTCTGTTTGTGTGTGTGTATGTGTGCGCCCATACGCGTGTGTGCCCACATTAGTCTGTGTCATAACGTGGAAGAACATATACGTGTGAGTTTTGGCAGCCAACTTATTAACAGGAACAACACCTTAATAAAATGTGATTTGTTAAATTCTGAACAGTGTGTTTTATTAGCTGGGGTTTACGCTGATTGTTCTGTTTTGCTCGTTATAATTACTTAACCGAGGCGCGTTTCATTTATACACGCAGCACATAATTATTCTCCATATCAGTCAATTTGCACTGTGGTGTTTGGTGCTTATACAATGCATGGTTGATTTACAAAGCATCTAAAATGCAACTGCACCAGCAGACCACCGCTACATGAGTTAGTGTGACACGATCACCGTATAGGGAGTCTTGTAAATATCCGCATGTGTAGAAGGCCGGCAAACCTGCAGCTCTGAAGCCGCGTGCACCCATTTCAAGGACTGCTTCATGACGTTATTCACACGCATTAAGGCTCTTGAAATATTGAGGGGTTTTTTTTCCACCGAATTTGGAAAAAAAAAGGACTTTTATTTTGGTTGCCGGACCCCTTCCTGCACTGGTAGGTGAGGTAGGGAATCACGATCTGTGTTCAAGACTGGAGGCTCGAGCCGATGAACTGTAAAGCTGTGTTTCGCACGTCCAGTTTGGGACGGCTTTGAATGGGGACAGGGACTCCACAGCACAGATGCCTGGGCGGCGTGGGGGGTGGGGGGTCGCAGTGGAGCTTTGTTGGGGGCTTTTGGCAGAAGACGTTGATTGTAGCGGAGGCTGTGGAGGGGAGTAGAGTGCATGGAGGGGGGGGGGGGGGGTAGAGTGAGATGAGAGGCAACGAGACCAGCTGTGGGGGAGGGAGGAATCGGTTGGTCGACTTGTTCAATCACGCCTTGCTGTTGGATCCTCTGCTCATAGTATACCGTTCGGGGCTTAAAGAAATAAAGTATCTGGTTGTGCTTTGCGGGGAAGTCACCCCCGCCCCTTGTGCGACGGGCTTCTGAAATTGCCACCGTTGGGCTGGGGAGAGCCGATGGGAGACGGGAGGGCACGCTTGAACCTCGTCACTTCGACACGAGTAAGCGTCGGAACGACGTGACGGGTTTCGTGTTTTCAAGGCGAGCAATGAACAGCGTTATTTGGGCAGGTCACAGCCCCCCGTTGATGTAAAAAAAAAATGTCCTGGGAGTGTAGGGTTCAAACGGTGTTTACTTACTCAAACCCCGAGAGTGCGTGTCGCGTGGCAGGCATCTCCAGTGGCACCTGAGCAAATCGGGCTGAAATTCCACGTTCCCAGAGGCAGAAGCCAGAGATCAGACACGCTGGAATTCCTACGCCGCCGAGTGATCCTCAAGTTACGAACTCATCGGCCAATCTGGCCTCCCAACCACCATCAGGATTTTAACTCTGTCGACATTCAAACCGTGTGGCAGTGCGCACAGCATCATCCGGCCGGATTCCACGGACGCAGCTGGTTCTCAAACGAAAATGCAGGATTACAAATATATTATACACTGATTATGTCTTCAATACAAAAAAAAAACAGCTTCAGACGTGATGATTTGTATCGTGCTGCACGTATTATTGCATGTTACAGGAGGGTGGGGTGGTGGTGGGGTGGTGGTGGACCAGCGGTGAGTGCACTATGTTATGAAACCTGAGTTGGATTCCAGGCCACTGCTAAAAGCAATGTCGAACATCAACATGTGCCGCTACCGTTGAACCAATTGGCACTGACCAGCTTGGTGAAGTATGGTCAAACCACCTCCATTACATGCGGCGGCCTTCATCCAGCAGTGGATTGACATGGGGCTGTTTACAATTGGGCACGACTCCAGATTCAATATGAAATAAATAAAACTTGAAATGAAACGTCAACACTGATCTTCGATAATGGTTTCACATTCACAACTGATTGAGTCACCAATTGCAAGCATCCATTGCTGCATCTTAATCAATTCAACCCCACTAAGCCGTGGGGTTTGTACACAAACCAGACCGTTCCAGAGTGTTGCTTGTGTTGAATCCGTCCGGAAATTTGTATTTTTATGGGATGTGTAAAATAATGTATAGTTACGTGGAAGGACGGATACGGGAAATCGTCGTAATTGTATTGAAGTACGTATTTTGAAAGGCATTTTGCGTTTGCATGGAACATAATATGTGATAGTTAAATCTATCGACGCAAAATTCCGCTCTGCCTCCAAATGTAAATACAAGTGAGTTTTAGTCCATCAGTCTATTGGCTTTCCAGATAGACATCAAGCATCATTCATCTAAGCAAAGTGTGTATCGGCTTTGGCTCTGGGTTCAAATCGGTCTCGATTTTGTTTGCGTTCTTAAACACAACACGCTGCTTGATCATTGTTGGTCTGTAAAGTCAATCGGCGGTCTAACTAAAATGCACGTTTATATTCATGTGGAGAGACAGAACACAGGTCCGCTTATGTTTTCTTGCACCCATGCGGTGCTACACAAGTTTATTTGCAGCTCCGAAGAAGTCGTGCAGCTTTCGTGACTGCAGGAATCCATACTCTTTGGTTCTTTCGGTAAAGTCACGTAAGTATAAAATAAATCACGACGTTTCGGGCGCAACACAAGCGTCCATCAACAGGCGGGAAAGCATGGTCTGCTGCTGAGGCAGACTGTTTTAAAAGGTTTGAAATGGGTGTAGCTCAAGGGTTATAAAGCAGTGGCCGGGGCTAGTGATGTTAATGTGAGACATTAGCGTGTAACTGTCAGATAGGAGAGGGGCCTCCTAAACGAGGCCATCGAAGTGGCTATGTTAATGTGAGGGATTAGCATGATGTTAATGTCAGAAATTAGAGGGCACGGAAGTGACTATGTTAATGTGAGGGATTAGCATGATGTTAATGTGAGAAATTAGAGGGCACGGAAGTGACTATGTTAATGTGAGGGATTAGCATGATGTTAATGTGAGAAATTAGAGGGCACGGAAGTGACTATGTTAATGTGATGGATTAGCATAATGTTAATGTGAGAAATTAGAGGGCACGGAAGTGACTATGTTAATGTGATGGATTAGCATAATGTTAATGTGAGAAATTAGAGGGCACGGAAGTGACTATGTTAATGTGATGGATTAGCATGATGTTAATGTGAGAGATTAGAGGGCACGGAAGTGGCTATGTTAATGTGAGGGATTAGCATGATGTTAATGTGAGAAATTAGAGGGCACGGAAGTGGCATGTTAATGTGAGGGATTAGCATGATGTTAATGCGAGAGATTAGCATGTAACTGTAGAAAAGAATGAGAAGAAGAGCGACCTCCTCGCCGAGGGAGTGCAACCCAACGGGTGTAATCCGAAGGGCCTGCGAGCATGAAAGTGCAATCCAAAAGACATGTGAGCATCAGAGTGCAATCCAAAGGCATGAGAGTGCAATGCAACCTTAGTTTTAACAAAAATTAAATTTCTAACACGTACTTCATAATCCCCTTCGGTACATTTTCCTTTCTCCGGCTTCTCTTTCACGTGAAAATGAGTTTCGGCTGTTAATGTCTATTTTTAAAATTCATGACTGATGACCTTGAGAAAGTTCAGTTATTCTTTAAGTCTTTACTGCAAAATTTGGGGGCATTTGGGGGGCAGTTGGGGGGCAGGGGTGGTGGTGGGGGGAGGAGGGCAGTCGGGAGGAGGGAGTGGGGGATGATGTCGCGAAATATATTTCATCTTTGCTCTTGAAATTAAAACAAAACAACTTCTCTGAGAAATGATCCCGTGAAAGGCCAATAAACTATTACCAGTGTGTCTTGTATTGTCAATGTTAGCGAGTAGCACCTATGAAGGTCGGGAACGGTACACGAAGGGCGTGGGTGGCCCACACCACGCCCCTACCGCCTTTGTCTCCCAAGTGGCGCATCAGGTACACATTGGAGGCTGAGCCGACCTAGGAGAGGCCCAGGACCGGTGCAGACAATCGCCACTGGTGTTGGCCGTGAGCGGGAATCGAACCCGGGTTCCACCACGCTAACCGCTGCACCACCGCTCCCCAAGATAGACTCCTCTCTATACCACCAACCACAACACTGTGTCCGTCCATTAGAGGTCAGATTGGCAGCATCCTTTGGGGAGTAATGTGTTACCGTACTGTCATTTGATTAGCGAAGGCAGGCACCGGTGTAATCACGCGATATAATTCCGCGTGTAGTGCAATGCAATGCCATTGTTTGGCGGCTGGCGTAGTGGGTAACACGTGCGCCTCACACGCAAGACGCGTCTGGTGTTCGATGCCCAATTCGAGCGCCTCTCTGCGTGGAGTTGGGCACGTGGGGGGGGGGGGGTTCCTTTGGGTTTCTTCCGATAGCTAAACAAAACCGTCACGGTACTCGAATTGTCAATAAATCTTGTGGGTTTACTCACTGACTTCATCAAACATGGTGGTAGCAGGAAAGTGGCCTTCCCATAAATGACGTCACGCGATTTTGGACGATTTTTGACCCCCCCCCCTTCGTCACACGACGTCACAAAAAGTCAGACCCCCCCCCTCAAATATGACGTCACAAAGCTCTGCCCCCCCCTAAAATAAAACATGCTTCAAATCGCTTTAAACTATTGTCATTGTAGTGCGTATTTAATGTGGCGCTGCACTCTGATGTTGTAGGAGAAAACATTTATTAAAAAGTCTATTTAATTAAGTAGAACGTGTTGTCTATATTTATTTAAAGTTGCGCATTTTGATGTGACGTCACATTTCTCAACCCCCCCTCCCCCTCATCAAACATCGTCACAAATGTCTGACCCCCCCCCCCCCAGGTGCGTGACGTCATTTATGGACGGCCCCAAAGATGTAGGTGAATGTGATGTCGCATCTCACTGGACGTGAAAAGGAAGCACAGGGGAGATTCTACTAGGTGGAGTGGGGGGGAGGGAGACGGGGGGATATACCGACTCATTCTCAGACATAACCTAACCCGATCATTAACGAACAACGTAGAACAAAACATATTAAAGAATACTTTTAAAAAAACACGCTTTAATGAAACGTACCCTACTCGTAATGGCAATACTCCACGACTCCAGGAAGTGGACCCGAGGCTTGCCATAACGTCATGGACCATGGTGATTTAGGACCAACGTGAGTTGAGCGTGGACAATTAGACCCAAGCCG